CTTGTTCGTCCTGTCCCCCCCTGCTCCTCCTGTGCCCCCCCTGCTCCTCCTGTGCCCCCCCCACTTCTCCTGTGCCCCCCACACTCCTCCTGTGCCCCCCACGCTCCTCCTGTGCCCCCCCTGCTCCTCACCCGGGCTGGCAGCGAGGGCTGTGCTGTGAACATGGCACTGCCCCCTCTCCGGGCTGAGAGGGCAGAGCTGCCACAGCTGCTCCCAGCTGGAATGTGGCAGGGAAGGAGCCCTGGCCGCTGCAGCCAGCACAGCCCCATCCCATTCCAGCCCCGTGGCAGTTGCCCCAACATGCTGCTGACCAAATCTGCAATTCGGTGCGAAAAAGTGTAATGTTTGGCTCTGCTGCTCCCTGTTCCAAGAGGTGTGTGGAGTGCTGCCTGCCAGGACCTGCCTGCACGGGTCAGGGTCTCCAGAAGGAAGGAAAGGGTCGGGTGAGGGTTGGATGTTCTTTATTTTTTTCTTATTATTATTTTTTTTTAATTTTAAAACAATGAAGGAAACTTAATTGGTTTGAAAATGGCTGAGCTGTAGCCCCTGCGTGTCTGTGCTGCCCCAAGCCAGCTGCCTCTTCCCCCTGCCCCGTGCGATCCCAGGACTCCATCTCACACTTCCAGGGTGTTACCTGTGTCATTCACATCTTGCTGTCCCCCACGGCAGGTGCCGGGAGGGTTTCTGTGTGTCCATGCTGAGAAGTGACAGCGTCCTGGGCAGGCTTCAGGTGCCTGCAGACACGGCTTCCATCCCCAGCTCCCTTCCTGAGCCTGCCGGCAAACCTGGCCAAGGCAGGCAATGCCTGCGGTGTCTCGGCGGGGAGCGGGGTGCCCCGGCGTGCCCAGAGTCCCTGCCCCGGGATGCAAAATGTCCTGGGGCATCTCGTGCCCACCCAGCATCTGGCTCTGGTGCAGGGGCCGAGCCGGGGGCCACCACGAGGGCTCCCCTGTCCCCTCCAGCAGCCGTCCCCTCCAGTCCAGCCCCGCCGCTGGGGCCGGAGCGGGAAGCGGCGGTGCCGGCGTCTCAGGGGGATCCTGCCATGGACGGAGCCCCCAGCTCGGCCTCCTCCCGGCTGCCGTCCAGGGTCTCTGATCCCTCGAAGCAGCCGGAGTCGCGGGGAATGTCCCCCTTGGGCTCCGAGGGCGATGGCAGGGCGTCGGAGGTGTCACCATCCTCGGGCTCGCTGCCTGCTGGCAGAGGGGCCGTGGCGTTAGCGGAGCTGCCGTGCCCGGCCGGGGCTCTCCCACCCCCAGACCCTTACTGTCATAGTCCAGGAGGAGCTCGGCGGCCGTCAGCAGCTTGGCGCGGTGCTGGGGGTCCGTGATGTGCAGCTCGTTCAGGTGGGTCTCCCGCAGCTCCTTGAAGTCCTCCAGGGTCTGGTAGCCGTTCAGCAGGAGGGTGGGGGTGTGTTCCTGTGTGTGGAACGGGGCTTGGGTGGCTCCCCCCGACCCCCCGTGCTGGCCTCTGGGGTCCACGGTGGGCACCTGCCCCCACAGCGCCCAGAAATGCCCCACGTGTCCCCTCTGTGTCCTGGGTGGGAGGACCCACACAGAGGGTGGAGAGGGGTCGGTCCCACTGCTGGCACCCGGTGCCGTGCTGGCCGTCCCTCACCTGCAGGTTGATGCGCTCCAGCAGCTCGTGGAGGGTCTTGGGCTTGAGGCGCTTGTTCCGGCTGGAGCCCCGGCTCCTGCGGGCAGGGACCGTCTCCTCGGGGATCACATCCACGTAGATGAACTTGAAGGAGCCCACCCTGTTGTTGAGCAGCCCGGTCCAGGTGCCCACAGGTGGCTTCTCGATGATGCCGATAATGTCCCCTTTCTAGGCCAAGGGACACGGGATGGTGGTGGGCACAGCCTTGGGGACAGCCGGGGACCCAGCTCAGGGTGTCCCCAGCGTCCCCCCCTCCCCAGGGCCGCAGCGGCCGTGGCTCACCCGCAGCTTCAGGGAGTCCTTGTCATAGGGGCTGGGGGTGAAGTCGGTGTGGACACGGGCCCGGCCGCAGAAGGGGCCAGTGTAGGCTGGGACGGCCTCCTCCAGCTGCCGGCTGTCCCCGGCATCGCCAGGGCTGGCAATGTCGCTGCCTGCAGACAGGAGGGGGTCAGGGGTGCCCGGCTGGGGTCGTGGGGCCACTGTCCCGTGGGGGCCGGCCTCACCGCTGGACATCTGGCGTCCGAGGGCCGGGCGCCCGTCCTCCTCCTCGTCCTGCTCCAGGTATGACAGGGGCACCTTGTCCTGGCTCTGCTCCTCCACGCTGCCGGCTGGGGACAGGGGGCACGGGGACCCCTCCTCCTCCACCTCTCCCTGTTGGGGGTAGCGGGCTCAGGCCGAGGGAGGGGGAGCTGTCCCCGCTCACCTGTCCGTGTCCCCAGCCCCGCTCACCTTCCCCTCGGCCAGCGCTCTCACAGCCGCCCTGCCCATCTTGCGGTTCATGGTGCGGGAAATGACCGCCCGCCACTTCCTACCCAGCTTCGTCCCGCTGCTCCGCACGGCCTCCTCCGGACTGCCGCTGCTGGGATCATCCTCAGGGATCTGCCAGAGGGATGGAGAGTGAAGGCAGAGCCCCCTGCCCTGGGCAAGCCTCGGCAGGGTCATACAGGGCTGTGAGATCCCAAATCCCACCAGCGCTGGCAGCCTGGGGCTGCTCCGTGACACACGGGCCCCTGGTGAGAGCAGGAGTTTTGGGAAACCGGCCCTGAAATGGGCTGTTCCCGGGGGAGCAGGATGTGTCAGGGGGTGCTGCTGCGCGGGGGTGCTGGGAACTCACATTCTCCTCCAGGTTGAACTCCTCACTTGACACGGGGGAGCTGACCTTGGACTTGCTGAAGTCCTTGAAGCTGCTGGAACGCTGTAGGGAAAGCTGGGAGCAGGGGCAGAGGTGTGAGGGGGGACATGGAAAGGTGGGAGATGGGCTTCTTCCTTCATCCCCTGCCCCAGCTCCCCTCTGCCCTTTGGGCAGCTCTGCCCATCCCAGGGTGATGCCTGGGTGATGGCTGGGAAGAGTTTTTTGCTCTTTTCCAGGAGCTGCCATGAGCCATGAACTCCCCAGAACTGGGATGTGGAGCTCTTGGTGCCCGTGCAGCTGCTTGGCACAGCATTCCCAGGGCAGGGACGCTCTGGTGTAGAGCCTGGCAGTGCCGTGCTGGGAGCAGCCCAGGGCTGTGCCGTGATGCCACCCTGGCACGTGGGCCAGGACGTGGGGGGACACAGGGCTCGGCAGTGCTGCAGCTCCTCTCAGCACAGGGCAGGCAGCACCAGCAGCTGCAGGACTGAAGGTTCTCCGTGTTTTCCGCCTGTGAGCGTCACCCCACAGCCCAGAGAGCACACCCCCAGCATCACCAGCTGGCTTGGTGCCACCTCCATGCCTAAACCATTAAAGCTGGTTCTGGATCTCAGTCCTGGTGCACCTCTCTGTCCCTGCCCTGTTGAGTCTTTCCTGTGCCCCCTGCCTGCCTGCCTGCCTTCCTCTGCATGGCCTCAGGTGCCTGTCTCACATGGAAAGGTCCTCCCTGCCGGGTCCTTGGTGCCAGCACAGCCCCATGTCCCAGGTGTCCCTAACCCCGGATGGCAGCACCAGCTCACACACTGGGGCACGGTGAGCTCGGCTGCCACCACCAGCGCTCTTGAGGCCCTCGGAGCACAGGGCACGGCGCTCGCTCTGCCACCGCCACAAACAGGCATTTCCGTTCTCAAGCAGCTCCTGTGGTGGCTGAGGCCCTTCCCAGCCCTGCACAGCCCGGCTCGGTGCTGTCCCCTCTTTATTCTCCTCCTCACAGCATCCCTGAGCACTCGGTTTTGCCTTTCCCTGCAGAGGGCTGGCTCTCGGTGCGGCACGCAGCTGCACACCCGCTGTGGCTTTATGCCAGCTCCAGGTGCAGCTGTGCAGAGGGGATGCTGGCTTTTGCCTTGCTCCCACCCCAGTGCCCTGAATCCACCAGATCTGGGTCCACTGAACCCCGCAGGGCTTCACTGCTGAGATAAAACAGCTCTGAGATGGAACTGCCCGGGGCTGGAGGAGCCATGGAGAGGCTGGCAGTGGGATGTGAGTCAGGGGGGCCGGGCTCTCCCGGAGCAGGGCAGGAGGGGGAAGTGAGAGTGGCTGTGGCTGGGAGAGGGCAGGGGATGCCCACTGGGACTGGCCGGGCTGGATGGGCCACCCCCGTGCAGGACTTCACCCAGATTTGCTGCGGGATCCTGGCAGCAGGGAGGAGCTGCCATGGCAGGGTGTGTGCCCGTCACGGGCAGGACGCTGCCACCACCACTGTCCCTGCTCCCCGAGGTGACCCGCTGATGCCAGCCCAGCAAAGCTTGGCGAGAGCCGAAGTGCCGGCTGGTGCGAGAACTGGCGGGGGACGAGGAGCCGGTTTTGGCCCCCACTGGTGACTTCAGCCTCCAGGCTTGAGCCCCAGGGCGGCACACGGCCGTGCCACGGGCAGCTGGCGCTCCTGCGGCTCCCGGTGCTGCCGGAGGAAGCGGAGGATGCACGTGACGGAGCTGCAGCCCGACCGCAGCACCTCGGTGCGCAAGGGAGCTGCTCAGAGAGCCGCCACCGCAGCCACGGCCCCCAGGAAACGACAGGAGGCCATGGAGGGGGCCACGGCTCCCCCAGCACAGCCCCGCGGGCTCCAGCGGCACCGGAGCCGGCACCCGCCCCGATCCCGGGAGCTGCGCATCCCAGCTGCACCTCCCGACGGGATGGAAGGCAGAAAGGGAGGTGGACAAGGCCGGTACCACCGGTACCACGCTCTGGCGAGGACACAGTGGCAGCAGAGACGAACTGATGGCAGGGCGTGCCTGTCCCCCGGCACCGGCCCTGCCGCTCGGCACCCCGGGGCAGCTCTGGGTGCGCCGGGACACGTGCGGTGCCGAGGGCACCTGGATGCCACCAGCACTCACCTTCCTGTGTCGCGGCTCCTTGTCGCCGGCGTTGGAAGGCTTGCGGCGCAGCATGGCTCGGGCCGGTGGCGAGGGCTCAGCGTCCGGCAGCGGCGAGCACGGCCCGGCCCGGCCCGTCCGTGCCGAGCCCCGGTGCCGAGCCCGGAGCGCACAGGAAGCTCTGGCGGTCACATGAGAGGCGCTGCAGCCGTGCTCGGGGTGGCTGGCGAGGCTCGGGCTGGGGCAGGAGGAAGGAAACCCTCCACCGAGCTGCTGCCCTGCCCGGGGCCCCTGGGCGGGGACGGTCTGTGCGCCCTGACACCTCTGGGCCGTGCCGCCCCTCGGTGATGCTGCCCTCGCCCATGTGCGCTTGGGCTTCGTGCGTTCCCCCGTGCAAAAGGTGACGGTCCCCATCCCCTCTGTCGTGCCCACCCCTGTGCCTGCTCATCCCGCTGGGATGTGATGACGGCCAAGCCCCTCTGCGTGACGCTCGCTCTGGGATGTCCCCTGTACCCGCAGGTCCTCCCGGCTCGGCATCACCCCGCTCATGCTCATGGTCACCCCGCCGCTGGTCCCCGCGGGGACATTCCTGCTTGGGCTGGCTGCCTCGCATCTCCTCACTCCAAATCCTCCATTTCTGCCCCAGAATTACAGTCCGCCCAAATCCATCTCCTCGCTGTCGCCTCAGGGCTGGAGCGGGTGGCACGGGCAGGGTCACAGGAGCAGGGCCGGGAACCAGCCCGAACGAGGCAGCACATCGGGCACAGCGGGGCCCGCCCTGCTCATGTTTAATCACAGACCAGCGAATGGAATACCCCCAAAAAAGGGAAGTGAGGGCGAGGGAAGACCTCGCCCGTGGTGGGATGGATGGCGGTGCCGTGGGTGCGGGGTCAGGCCCCCAGCCCGCTGAGCAGCACCGGGAGCAGCGAGGCGAGGGCCAGCGTGCCCGCTGCGGCGGTGCCGGCGCTGCTCACCGGGAAGGGCTCGGTGCTCTCCTGCAGCCAGGCGTGCGCCTCCTCCAGCCGCTGCCGCCGCAGCTCCGGCCCCACGTGCGCCCGGATCCTCTCGTAGTAGGAGTTCAGGTACCGGATCTGCAGCCACGCACCACGGGGAGCTGCGGGGGTGGCCTGGATGCCGCCCCCACCTTTGACCTTCCCCGTCTATCTGCCCCACACCCTGAGCACTGGCTCCACGTGACGAGCTCATTGCCCCTCTTCACCCATGCATCCATCCTTGCTCTGTCCTCATTTACCCACTCCAGCCTCATGCCACGGTCCTGGATTTTTGCTGCATCCACCCCCCCAAAGCCCCTGTGCTGACCTCGCATCCCTGCTCTGCCCCCCACCCCGAGCACGCCCCCGTACCTGCTCTGGGGACAGGAGGCTGAGGTCGATGAGGTTGCGGTCATAGGGCACCAGGGACACCAGCTCGAAGGTCAGGAAAGGCCCCTCCTCGCTCTGGTGCTGCACAGACAGGTGTCATTGGGTGTCCCCTACCCCCTTGGCATTGTCCCCACCCCTGACTCGATGCAGGCCCCCACGGGGTGCCACCTTGTCACCCCTGTCACCCC